GCAGGGGACGAAGCTATGTATAGCATTTTGGCTCTTTGCCAGTCATGGTATGCTACAGAGTAAGATCCATTACCATAGATAAAGATATGCAAAGTAAGGGCGGAACTCCCAACTCCTCACATGCAAGGAATCAAGAGCCAAAAATCTGGCTAGAACCTTCATTTGTCCAAACAAGAAGGGACTCTGATCCATAATGTGAATGTCCCTGTTGAACACAGAGCAGAACAGGACCAAAGGGATGAAAGGCAGGAAGACAGAATATGGTTGTTGTGTCATAATAAAGACTGCACATTCAAAAATGATGTGAAATTCTTTAAATTCATGGAAATCAACAAACAATTTTCCAATCCAGATCACTCTTTATCTAGATTCTTACATGAGTTTATGTTTATCCAGGATTCTGGTTTCCTCTCTTCAAGAACTAAGAATCCACAGGCAGAAGAGAGACTTTTTGCTCTAAGCAGAAGACAGCAGAGATGAAGTGGTCAAGGAATGGATTGCATTTCTCAGTGCTTCCTAATACTGTCCAAGACAGTCTCTGCAGCAGTTAGGTTATGGCTGAAACCTCTTCTTTCTAACCTTTGACCTAGGGGTGAGCACCTATGAAGCTGCTTGTCAAAGAGAGGCTTCCCTTACAGGTCACCTGCATCAATTTCTTAAAGGGTATGTATATTTCCCACAAAAGAATTTCAGGGTGGCTTATAAGAGCAAACCAGCCTCTCAAAATATCTACATGTTCACTTACAACTTCAAGCATATGGTCACTAGGGCTCCATGTAGCAGTACAAATTAATCTTCTAGCATCTAACATGCTAGGCTGCTAGATCTAAGAAATCAGAAAGAGCAATCTAGTGGTGTAAAGAAGAGCAAGGTAACTGAGCAGGGAAACAGAATTGTTTATATAAACATACACTTAAGTTCTGTTTTAAGTTTTTCAGGTTGCAATCCTAAACATTTAAAAGACAGGAAACCATATTGAATGGCATGCATAGGACTTCACTGTTCTAGTTTAGGAATTGAAATATCATTATCACATATTTGATTTCAAAATCAAGGAATACAATCAAATTTTGCAGATCAACTTCTTCATGTAAATATTTATATTATTTTGTCATGCGAATCAAGTCAGTTGTACTAAACCACTTACCAAGACTTTTCTAGACAGCAATTTCAGTCATAAGCCTCTATACTCACAATCTATTTTGCATCTTGTTTTCAATTACCTCTGAAGAATTATTTATTTTTAACCACTGTGTTCATCATAGTCCCTGGAACTATCATGAGATAACTCATTTACTAATCTATTTTGAACTAAAATAATCTGTTCGTTTGATAAAATGTTGAACAAATATTGTTTTGGACTTGCCTATTCATAAGAGAATTCCCAAAAATAATCTTTTTTCTTGCTAAGATTTTGATCAAATACTATTTTGGGCCTCTCCATTCAAATCTCAACAACTTCAACTGCCTTATTTTTTATGTTTGACAATTCACACACATTTTCTTCAGTGGCCCTTTTACTGTATTTGCACTATGCCTTAAATGACGTTTATAGTCTGTTCTGAATTACATCTGTTAATACACTCTGATCAATTCCAACATTGGAAAACTTGCTGTATTTGTAGTATTAGAATTTTTTTTTAAAAAAAATCACATCTGCAAACTGTCAAAAGTAGAACTTCTGCAATTCCTCATGTAACCAAAATGCCTGAGCTGCAATCAGCTTCAAAGCACTTTGTACAATTCTAATAGACACTTGGAATACAATTGCCCCTAGCTTTTTTTTTAAAGGTTAGAGTTGCTTTACAACATCATCTTACTATCCATTAAAAAAAAAAACCTAGTCACTCTATTCTTCACTGTTGTAAACATGCCATGAATGTAATCAGGATCTGCTGTAACCCATGGAAGCTTAGATGTAACTGAATGAAATCCCCGTATCACCAATGTGAACAGGGAAACTGACTGGTTCTATGACTGGGCTATCACCAAAGTGGTTTTCTCAAATATTGCTGGCTAGAGAATGCCGAGAGTTGCAGAACCTGTTTCTGTCTAAACATAGAGAGGATGGTACCCTAACCCAGTTGTTCCTGCTTCCTAACTAATGATAAAATCATCAAGGCCAATCAATGGAACCTTCCATCTCCTTTTACCCTATTTCTCAATCATTAAAAATGCGACCAAACATTACATAGGATCCTTCCATGTACTTAGACAAGTTAATCGTTGCTTTCTTTTGCTTGCCCGTGTTACACTTGATCAATAATTCATGACTAGTGTTTTCATGAGCATTCTGCACATTCTACTGGTTGCAACCAACTTTAAGCACAACTACAAACATATTCAAAAAGTAGTCTTTGCAAAAACTTCAAAAATATTTTGTTGTATTTCCAGCTAATACAATAGAGACCATAATACAACATAAATATAAATGCATAGCCATTAACAAAACCCAGGTGTCTGTTCTAAAACAAAACATCTGAAAGTAACAAGAAGCTCTTATAAAAACCTGGGTTTGGATCAAACAATATTCTTTTTATGGTTGATTTAACCAAGCAATAAGCTTCAATCAACACAATTGTACTGACATCCTGAAAAGTGGTAACAGGTTTTTAATGTCTCTTTTAAGATATCAAAGTTATAACCCCAGGAAAAACAAAGCCCTACTATATTCCATTCAATGAGAGATTTGAGATCTTTTCATAAAGGTATATATTGATGCAATATTAGCCCACACACAGAATGGGTCGATAGCTATGGGTTGCACTTATCTGAATTACTGGAAAGGAGGCAATTTCATACAAAAGAGCTGGACCAGAGAACAGGAAAACTTCAGGCTATTCCAAGTTCAGGGGTCAGATGTAAGCGTTCTATCATCGAAAACGCCTTGCCTGAGAAACATCAGAGTGAGGCACATAAAGAAATCCTGTGTCCAAAGGAGTTGCTAAGGACCAGGTTTACTCATTGATGTTTTTCTGTTTATCTGTGTAGATGGCAACACCTTTCCAAAACGCTCAGCCATTTCACTTTTGCAACGCAGCACTTCAATTTTCCATTTGAAAAGGATGTTTGTTTCTGCTCTGTATGTTCCAAGAGGTGTGGAGGGGGAGAGTTAAGGAAAGGAGGGAATCAGATCTTCCCAAGTATAAAGTGCTCGAACAATCAAGATCGGGTGGTCCCCCCTCCCCCATGACCAACACAGCAGCCGTGATGAACAATATATGACGCAAACCTCTTATCTGTCCAGCTTGGGAAGGGAGGGCTTTGTGTGTGTTATTTTTTTATGCCTTTTGAACGAAATAGTAAGAGTATAAAACAAAATTGGTACAGTTGTGGTACAGTTGCGCGGCTCCGAGGCTATAAGAAACCCCGCTTTCCCGTGCAAGGGAGTAAACCGAAAACAAACTGAAAGACCACTTTGTAAACGTCACAATGAAACGGGGCAGAACACGCTTCCCCAGGAAAGCAAAGGCGTTCCGATCTCTGCTCTACGCCCAGCAGTCCCGGCCCCCCCCCCCCCCCCCCGGGGGGGGTTCTTTCACGGGTTTTCCCCCGGTCCAAAGTGCCTCCGAGCCCCTCCAGATTTCCTACCGTTGCTCATTTCCACCACCACCGGGTGTTCCCCCTTCTACTTTTGCAACTGTTTGTTGCGTATTTTGCTTTTGCTCTAAAATAAATAAAACGTCCTGCACACCAGTGTCCTTCCCCAGCCCGACTGCAAATCCAGTTTTTTGAAAGAGGAAGAAAAAGGGAAAATGAAAGGAGATACAGACAAAACCGAGGGCCCAGACGGAGCACACCCACCCGCCCAGCCTCTTGCGATCGCTTCGCCTTATCGCGACTTCCAGCAGCAGGAAAACTTTCTCCTGATTGCATTCAAGTGCGCGGCGGCGGGGGATCGAGAGTGAGTGTGCACCAAGGCAAGAAGTAGATTCTCTGCAGCCTCAGGAGGAGGAAGTCCCCATAGCTAAGCTGTATGTGAAACGTCTCCCCCCGCGCCACCTCCTCGATGCCGCCCCCTCTCCTCCTCCCTTGTCTTGGCCGAGACTTTGGCAGTGCTGCAAACCGTGGGTTACCCAGCTAATCTGCTGGCAGATGTTGTCCATCACACGCAGTACTAAGTAAACAATGCAGAGCCCAGCAAAACAAAAGATTTCCACTTCACCTCGTTTAACGTCTCTCACTTACTCTCCGCCAAAGCGGGAGGGGGGCATCAAGAAAAGAGAGGAGAGGGGGTTTTTTTTCTTTCCTTAAAAAAAATCTTTTGAGAACGCAGGGCAGCAACTTAGGGTCCTTTTCCCCCTTTCTTCACCCGCTTCCACGGCGCAACAACAGCAATTAGCCCCCTTTCTCCGACTCTTTTTTTTTTTTTTTTTTTTTGGGTAGGGTAGACGGACAAGGGAGCGACGAAAGAGCTCTCTGGCTCGATCTGTCCCAGCTCGGGCTCCCCAAAAAAGCCCGTACAATCCTATCCGTGGTAATACATATGGTGGGGGGACGAAATATGTGCATAATAGAAAGGGGGAGGGCGGAATAGAAAGACATACACATCTCTATAACCAAACGCGCGCGTTTTAACACAATCCTGGATTGGAAAGCATTTTCGATAATAACGCACACCTTTTCACGGTTGCCCTGGCTGCGGGGGGGGGGAGGGCGGGAGCAATAGTAAAAAGCAACATTTGCCCCAAATCTGTGGCATCGCGGGGACGATAGTTGAACTGAAGGGTCTCTCCAGGCAGATTAAAGCCGGCCGGAGTGGGTGAGCTATGACCAAAGATGTCCTCACATTTCAAGCTTCCCCTTGTCCTCCCCCCACCCGGCTTCCCTTCTCTGGATGGCGCAGTGAAGCGAAAACACATGGACACTAGCACGGGCACAAACATTACGACTGCAGGTAGATTACTCGGAGGAAAAGGAAGGCGAGGTGGGGGGAGCAGTGCCCGGCCGATCAGGTTTGGGAAATAGCCTTGATTTCCCTTCCCCCTTGCCCCCCTTACCTCGTCGTAGGCGCTTAATGTCCACAGGGAACAGCCCCCACCTTTGGCTAAAGCCGTCGCCTGGGCTCTCAACGCTGCATCTTCCCCCCCCCTTTATCGATCGCCTCCGCTGGCTTGCTGTTTTTTTTTATTATTATTATTATTTTTCCGGGGCTCTTGCTGCCTGAGATCCACCTTAAAATGACACACACACACACACAGCGCACAAAAACTTAATCCTCTCCTCCTTCGCCAGGCTCCTGCCGCTGCTCCAAATGAGGATGGATTGGGAGCGGGGAAGAGAATAGGGGCACAGAGGGAAAAATCTAATTGCAACTTGGTGTATTTTTCCTGGTTTTTTTCCTCGCTTCCAAAAAACAAAAAGCAAAGTCTTTAGCTGATTCTTCTCCAAAGGGGAAAAAAAAAGGTTGGGGGGGGGTTTGATTTTCTACAGCGCCTCTTTCCTCTTCCTCCGTTGGGCTGAGTAGCTAGGAGAGGTAGGCTCGCTCTCTCCCTCTCTCCCTCTTTTCTTTTCTTTTTTTTTTCTTTCTTTTTTTTTCTTTTTGGGCAATAGGCGGGGTCTCTCTTTGCAAACCAATGACACAAACCCACATGGACCAGCCTCGCCCCCTACAGATACTCTTCACTGCAAATAGGCTTTCTCAGGGGATTAGTGGATCAGCTAAAGTACAAACAGACGCAGCAAGAAAGAAAGAAAAAAAGGGGGGAAGGGAGGGGGGTCAAGAAGAGGAAGGAGGAGCGTATCTTGGTGTTGCACTCCTGTGCCCCCCCCACCACGCTTTCCTCCCTCCACGACTTTCGCGGCTCCAAGTTGGCAGGACTTAAGAGAAAAGAAAATTTACGAAATGGGAAGGAACCAATGATGGATAGGCAATCAAGAAGAAAGTGCGAGCCCCCTCCCAGTAGTCCTGTGAGCAAGAGAAGGCAATTGTCTCGCCATCGGGCGAACGGGAGGGTCGAAACAAACGTTTATAGCTTTTGGTTGCGCGCTTCCAGCAACACACCTGGATCGGGGTCTGTGTGTGTGTTTCCCACCTTTTCAACAAAATAGAACTGATCTCGGCCCAAAACTGCACGTTTTCCATGGTGCCCCACGTGTATGGGTTGATGATATCTCCCGGGGGAGCGTGATCACCCCCAACAATTTTAGCAGACCCATCTATTTAAGCCATAACTGGTGAGAGTAGAACTAGTATTCCCTCCCCAAATAAAATCCGAGCTGGTTCGTCGACAAATTAAAATGTTATAAAAGCTTCTTGCCAATTAAAGCTGCAAGTCTAAACGGACTTCCTTAGGAGTAAATTTCATTGAAGTCAGGTGAACATACTTGGGAGTAAGCGTGCTATTAAGCGTAAGTGCAGTTTACTAGGGCATATTTATTTAGAGTACGGTCTAAACACCGTGCCAGCTGCGTCAACAAACAACAACAAACACCTTACCCGTGTTGCTATGTGCAGTTGTTATCCCAGTTAAACCAGGTCTCATACCTACACATGCAGCATTAACCCTCGAGGGATTTGTGGTCCAAACATGAGTTGTGACCTGTTATTCATTTATTAACTGCTCTAAGGGCCAAAATATACATCACTTTGATTTTGTTGCCTATATTTACTCTAGAGCAGGTGCAGAGGATTCTATCTGAAGTTTTTAAAAAGCATGCCACACTTACTAGGGTTCCTGATCTAACTTGGGACCCCTGTGCCTACTCAAAGGTAACAATGAAACGAAAGCACAATATAGGTTGGACCAGATAGCCCTCTGGCCCCTTCCAACTGATTGATTCTATGACAGCGACAGCTGCTAGAAGCGTTTTGCCTGTTTTGGCCCTAACTGATCAACTGGTCATGCATGGAATGTGCATGGTTATGTTTTTCTTACACAGGTGGCATGTTTAAATTAGGCTTTACTAAAATTAAAAAATGCCACAGCAGATAAAAACAAAGCTAGTTGTGCTAATCCATGTGAAAAAAAAAAATCTGGTGGGGGGAGGGATCCTACATTCATTAGGTATTGCTTGACTGGATTTTGGATGCCAATGTCTTTTATCGTATATTTCCATCAAGCCTTAGTCCTACCATGTTCAACCAGACTTCCTGCCTGGTTAGTATGCATTGGCTGATTCTGATTACTCTGTGATGGATAAGGTCAAAGTAATACCATTCCCCCATAATTGCCTTGTTTGTTTTTTATGTTTATATCCACCTTTTCCTCTGAAGACCCAAGATGACATTATGTTCCTTTTCTCCATTTTATAATCCCAACAACCTTGTGAAGTAAGGCTAGTCCGAGAGTCAGTGAAGAGCCCAAAGCCACCCAGTGAGCTTCATGGCCAAATAGGGGCTTGAGCCTAGATCTCCCAGTCCCAGATTGGTTCTCAAACACTGTACCACACTGGCTTCTGGGCAGAGTGTCAAGGACTCAGTTTTTTTAATTGTATATTGTGCTATAAAAATCTTCATGGTTTCTTGTCTTGTTTTTATTATTGCCCTTGCCTTGAGACAAAAATTAGCAACACTCCTTAAATTTGCAGCTTTAACTGATTTAAGGGTATTGAGACCAGGCTAGAGCTTCCTGTGCTTCCACTTAGATATAATAGTATGCACCAGGAGTTTGGGAAGTGTCCAGGGAAAAGCAGGCTGCTTTTCTCACCAGGCAAAGCCAGTCCCACAGTCCTTTGCAAGCTCAAGAACTCCCAAATCTTGACTCTGAATTTCACAATAGCAATTCAGCAATTTGATGCCCAGTGCTTCAAAATGTGTTTTGTCTCTACACATGTACTTAATCATGGTAAGACACTGGAAGCATTGGCATGACCCCTACTTTTGTCCAGCTAGAGGTTCCCTATAGCAACTTAGCAGTCCTTTTGGCACCACCCTGTCATTTTTTCCAACACATTTTTCATTACCCTGTTTAGAGCACATGCAATTTGACATAAATGTTCTAGAGCCTCAGGAGAAGCACTATCAGACACACTGAGCCCTTTCTGATGGCATCTTGAAGACAGAGAAGCCAAGATGTACACCCCCACGGAGCACTAAATTTGATTCAAATATTGTAACAGTTACACTGCAGTGTTCATATGCTGAATGTGCGATAGCAAGATCACAGGCAGGAACACACTCATTTGGGTTTTAAGTCTGCATTGCTTTGAAGATGACTATTGGTACTCTCATTCTTAGTTTTGCCTTATCACTAAAATGTGGGCAGGTGGTGATGTTATCTTTTCTTTCTGTGGTATAATCTAGCATTCCTTGTCATATTTAGTTGATCGCAACAATGGGTAACAATGGTGGTTATAAGCTAACCATTGATTGTTGGTATAATGTAGTGGTGAAATCCTATGCACAACTTAACCCCTTGGGCATCCTGCTCCTACTGGCTATATCAAAATATTAGGAAGAATTGTCTGAAGAGAGGAGCCTTTTTCTAACTGAGGAAACTCCCCCATCAGGATGCCAAATCAAGGAGGGAGCTTGTTGAATTGTTTAAGAAAAGTTCTTGCAACAGGCTATGGATTCTGGATAGTTTTTAACCACCCCAGCCATGCAGCCTCACTGGGTTTAGATGTCAGCATAACCTGCACCTGGCAAGGGTAATTAGGGAAATGAGTCAGCACATGCACAGCTGATTAACATTCCATTATGGCTTACTGGCCACTTTTCTCTCATGCTAACCAAGCCAATGTACGTGAGGCACTACAAGTATTGTATCAATGCTAAGAACTCTATTACTATTCCTATGCTAAACAGCTCTGCATCTGTATTGTATAGGCTGTATCTAAAGAATGGTGAGGAAGTTATTAGGTTTAACAGGTAGTATAGTCAACTTCCCAGTGGCCAAAAGCCAGAATAGTTTCCTGAATTCAGGATGAAGCCTTATAGCCTTCAGCTTCTTAGGAAGCCACCCAAGATACCCAAGGTCTTGAAGTGGCCTTCCCCTTTCATTCAGTAGATAAGACCTGCCTTGCACCAAGAATGAAACTATCCGCCATACTGAAGCAGTTCTACTCCCAGGAAGAGGCAGGGGGAGCCTGTGTGCCCACCTACAGACATGGCAATCGTAGCACAGAGGAACTTTATAAAATCCATGGCAAGAGGCTTTGCCTTTTGCTTTCAGTCACAGTGAAAGAATGGATGCATCACTTGCCCATATATCTTTGGAAGCTCCCAGAACATCTCCTGGCCTGTTCAGGGAACAAAAAGGCCACAGATAAATGGAATATAAAACTTGTAAACATATTTCATGATTGTATTCAACAAACTATCATTTTTTACACAGGAGGTTTCGGTCCTTCCCAAATATTCTCAAATCGAAAGTGAGGTGTCTCGGCTGGATTAGGCCCTGGGATTAAAATAGCACCCATACCAGGAAATTCAATCATGTAATGTTTGAGGTCCTACAAACATTCTTGACAGCTGCTGGGTATTGTCATGTGGTCAGAATAAGCTCTTGATCAACTCAACATGGGGGCATCTTACAGTTAATTTTGTGTGACTTCATTTAATAATCATGCAATTAAATTGTTATTTTGTGGTGGTTGAGTTTTGAAAATAGCTGTTGATTTTGCAGGGTAGGTAGCTGCTAACATCCATTTTCATACCATTTTGCTCTTGGTTTACTGTATTTGTTGAATGTATATAGCCAATGTAAACCAACTTCTGTGAAAAAAATCTCAGGATTGTATGATGGACTGTTTGTTAAATATGCTGCACTTAAATTGTTAAATAAAAGGGCTTCAATAAGAAAAATAAGAAATTCAAATTACTTTATCATATCTTGCTGTGCAGTGTTCCGTTTGATCCATCTGTAATCTAGTGAAATACAGTACACTAGAACACTTGCACCTTCATTTATCACTATCTGTACTTCTGAAGATTGTTACAATATCTGTGTTTATATGGCCGAAGTCTTATCATTTTACTCCAAGATTAATTTAATTGTCACTTAGGAAAGCTTCTTACTCTGCGCTCAGTGGTTGTCAGCCATCAACCTTTAAGGTGATTTAAGGTGCAATTCTGTGCAGGTTTAAACAGACTAGGTCTTACAACTCTCAGCATTCAGAACTCAGAGGCTTATAGACATAGAAGAGCAGAAGTGATCTTTGCTTTCTCATCTTTCTGTTCCGCACTTTACTACACAAGCTTTTTGCACCCATCTAATGAAAGCGCTGGGAAGGGAGAAGGCTGAAGTGGCTACAGGATGTCATCTACTGGATAAGTGCAAGGTCTTGTACTTGGGCATAGGTATGGGTGTCACAAGTACAGGTTAGGGGACAAGTGGCTGGAGAGCAGCACTTGTGAAAGGGATCACGGGGTACTGGTTGACTGCAGGCTAAATATGAGTCAGCAGCCTGATGCAGTAGTCAAGAGGGTGAATGCCACCCTTGGTTGCATAGCCA